TCAGAGGTTGTATCCAACATTACTAAGAACAGACCCTCTGAAATTAATAGACATGCCAAACTTTTTTTTGGTATACAATTTCATTTCTTTTCAAAAACAATATTAATATAAATTTGTAAAATTTATATGCCAAGATATAAGACTGCTTTCACTAATACATGCATTTGCACCTATACTTTCCAAGAGGATCTGCATTTTTGCACCCATTGCTTGGTGTTGCAAAATTCAGAGAAGTGCAGATTTCAAAGAATGGCTGTGTCTTGGTTCACGTGTTGTTTCAGAAAGTGAGAATTAGGCAATTTCACCTTTAAACGCAGAGTGACTTGAATTCCTCCCCATTCCTAAGTGGAACTCCCAGGTTCTCTGAGTTTCATATGGAGGGTAGGTGGAAATATTTTGCTTCATCCCTGCATTCATATATGTTGGGAGAGAAGGACTCACCACACAGCCTTCCATTTTCCCTGTGTTTTGCAAACAGGTCTCCAGAGGGTTGGGATCTCCAACTTTGCCTTGCCTTGACCACTTGGGAAGGCCAGAGGCAGCACAAATTTCTGGCCCTTGATCTCGTGAGGGGATCTCCACACCCTCCAACATTTCTCCGATGAAAATAGGGATGTCATATTCAAGAATAACAACATTTATACCCCGTCCATCTGACTGAGTTGCCTCAGCCCCTCTGGGCAGCTTCAAACGTATACAGAAACACAATAAAACATTTAAAAATTCCCCTATACAGGACTGCCCTCAGATGGCTCAGAGATCAGATAACTCCATGTTGTTGTTGTTTAGTCGTTTAGTCGTGCCCGACTCTTCGTGACCCCATGGACCAGGGCATGCCAGGCACTCCTGTCTTCCACAGCCTCCCGCAGTTTAGTCAAATTCATGCTGGTACCTTCGAGAACACTGTCCAACCATCTCGTCCTCTGTCATCCCTGTCTCCTTGTGCCCTCCATCTTTCCCAATATCAGGGTCTTTTCCAGGGAGTCTTCTCTTCTCATGAGGTGGCCAAAGTATTGGAGCCTCAGCTTCAGGATCTGTCCTTCCAGTGAGCACTCAGGGCTGATTTCCTTCAGAATGGATAGGTTTGATCTTCTTGCAGTCCACGGGACTCTCAAGAGTCTCCTCCAGACCATAATTCAAAACCATCAATTCTTCGGCGATCAGCCTTCTTTATGGTCCAGCTCTCACTTCCATACATCACTACTGGGAAAACCATAGCTTTAACTATACGGACCTTTGTTGGCAAGGTGATGTGCTGCTTTTTAAGATGCTGTCTAGGTTTGTCATTGCTTTTCTCCCAAGATAACTCCATACCCTCTGACAATTATCTGATAAAAATAGGGATGTCCTAAGGAAACCAAGACATTCCAGGATCAAGTCAGAAAACAGGACAGCTTCTGTAAATCCAGGACTGTCCCTGGAAAATAGTGACAATTGGAGGGTCTGGATCTCTGCAAAGTGATAATGGCAGTGCTATAGGAATGACAGGTCCTTTGCTGGCGGCTGGGCCCTGGCAAATGACCAACTGCACAAACCTCTGGCCCCAGCTATACACAAGATTATTCCATTGCTGTGAGCATACAGCTGTCTGCTCTGCTCTGCCAGAAACGTTAGCAATCCTCTGCTTCTGCGTGGGGAACCCTTTGCATAATAGCACACCATATAAACATAAAGAGGTTTTAATAGGCCATCTCTCTGTGCTCATTTTCATACCCTGGAGTTAGAAATCTATTTCGCAGGCTGCTGTGAAGGGTTCCTGACTTACAGCTCAGATGCTGTTGTTAGCACAATGGAAGCCGTGTGACTATAATAACCTTCGGCTTCCAGTAAAGAGGAGCCGCTAGAACGAGATTTAACCATCACCAGATTGACTTGCGGTTTTACCACATCCAAACTTCAGGGGGCAATAGAGACACAGTATCCTGCGCAATGATAAAGTAACCCCCTGTGCATGTGTGTGTTTCTGCTGCTAAGGAAAGCTCACACTCCTGTTCTGACGTTTTGGGGGTGGGAGAGAGTTGCGAGGAATGTTTATTAGCAAAATAACCCAGTGGAAAGCAGAAGAACTGATGCAACTAATGGAGCAAATAACTTGTTATTGCAGGATCCTCATATTGGGGACTTTGTGTCTTGCTAAGCATCCACCAAGCCACAGATGGGGAGGCTGTTAATCATTTCAAAGAAGCTACATACAGAGGAAATTACAATACATTGCACAGAGTTTCTGCACTCCTGAGTAAAGCTGCACAGAATATTCTCTAGCTCTTGCCATTCACTTTTAAACCACCGTATTTTTTGCTCTATAAGACGCACCAGACCACAAGACGCACCTAGTTTTTGGAGGAGGAAAACAAGAAAAAAAAATATTCTGAATCTCAGAAGCCAGAACAGCAAGAGGGATCGCTGCGCAGTGAAAGCAGCAATCCCTCTTGCTGTTCTGGCTTCTGGGATAGCTGCGCAGCCTGCATTCGCTCCATAAGACGCACACACATTTCCCCTTACTTTTTAGGAGGGAAAAAGTGAGTCTTACAGAGCAAAAAATACGGTAACACACTTGCTGGACCAGAATGAATTTTAAAAACAGACACGTCACCTTGCAAGAGTATTCATATTTGTTCTTGTAGTTCTTGTAGCTGCATGGTGCCCATTCCTTGCCCCTTTCTCTTCTTTCTCTCTCTTTTCTCTCTCTCATTGCCCTGTGCCTCACATCAGCCCGCACCGCCTTTTAATCCAATTGGCTAGGCCAACCCATGGGATTTGCTGTGGCGTCACCATGCCAGAAGCAGTGGCCTGATGACATAGACAAATTTTGCAGCGAGTTCTCTGGACTCTAGTTGACAGGCTATGAATTTGGCTTGAACCGGGGCTTGTTCAAACCCAGCATGTATAAACTGAAACAAAAGTTTGTGGATGTGGACTTATTCCAGCCACGCTCAGAATTCACACTGCCTGAAAGTGATGTGCTTTTAATCAGGATCATGTATTTATTTGGAATGACTCATTCCATGACTCACTGCTGTGTGTCTTGGATTCCTCAGTATAAGATTCGGTAACAGGATTATTTGGGACTATACGGGCTTAGCGTTAAGATGTTAAACAAAGACTCAGACCTGTGTTTGGGGTAGCTTCTGGGTAGAGCATTCAGTCTCCCAATTAGCATGTTTGTGCTTTCACTTGCAGTTCTACTCTGTCCCTAACTTTCATGTTAACTGATTTGTTTCTATAAGGACCTGTGCTTCTTACACTCCCTGCCCTTGATAACTTGTTGTTGTTGTTTAGTCGTGTCCGACTCTTCGTGACCCCCTGGACCAGAGCACGCCAGGCACTCCTGTCTTCCACTGACCCGCAGTTGGGTCAAACCCATGTTGGTAGCTTCGAGAACACTGTCCAACCATCTCGTCCTCTGTCGTCCCCTTCTTCTTGTGCCCTCCATCTTTCCCAGCATCAGGGTCTTTTCCAGGGAGTCTTCTCTACTCATGAGGTGGCCAAAGTATTGGAGCCTCAGCTTCAGGATCTGTCCTTCCAGTGAGCACTCAGGGCTGATTTCCTTCAGAATGGATAGGTCTGATCTTCTTGCAGTCCATGAGTCTCCTCCAGCACCAGAATTCAAAAGCATCAATTCTTCGGCGATCAGCCTTCTTGATGGTCCAGCTCTCACTTCCATACATCACCACTGGGAAAACCATAGCTTTTACTATACGGACCTTTGTTGGCAAGGTGATGTCTCTACTTTTTAAGATGCTGTCTAGGTTTGTCATTGCTTTTCTCCTGAGAAGCAGGAGTCTTTTAATTTCGTGGCTGCTGTGATCATGGAGCCCAAGAAAGTAAAATCTCTCACTGCCTTGATAAGTTGATAACTAGTGTCACCCTTGATAACTAGTGTCACACAATTCCCGAAATAAGCGCTATGGGGGGAAAGTCTACAGCTCATATCTCACCTCAAGCACCAACTGTTTGGGTAGCCAGGAGATAAGCTGTTGCCTCTTAGCATCAGCCCCCAACTTGTAACACGGGAGCAATTTACTGGCCTATCTCGCAGGGTTGTTGTAAGGAACAGTAAGGTCATATATGTGATGCACCTTTGGAAGTGCTGCATAAGGCTCAGGGAGAGACAGCAGTGGTGTATGAGGTGGAAGTGGTGCCATTCAGGGGAGAAGATGGGGCAGCGTAAGACCAAGGAAGCTCCCTTTCAACAAATCAGAATGAATGCTCCATCAACAAGTCATCTGGAAGCGCCTTTGGATCTTGTTAAATCTGTTCAGGAACGCAAGTCTTTCCGTCATTAAGCAGAACTGCAGTTGGATTTTCCTGTACTAGCTTAACATTGTTTTTCTGCACATAGAATTACAGTGGTACCTCGGGTTAAAAACTTAATTCGTTCTGGAGGTCCGTTCTTAACCTGAAACTGTTCTTAACCTGAGGTACCACTTTAGCAAATGGGGCCTCCCACTGCCGCCGTGCTGCCGCCGCACAATTTCTGTTCTCATCCAGTATATCTGAAGGAACGTCTCCACCCCCATCATTCTACCCGGACACTGAGGTCCAGTGCCAAGGGCCTTCTGGCGGTTCCCTCACTGCGAGAAGCCAAGTTACAGGGAACCAGGCAGAGGGCCTTCTCGGTAGTGGCACCCACGCTGTGGAACGCCCTCCCACCAGATGTCAAAGAGATGAACAACTACCAGACTTTTAGAAGACATCTGAAGGCAGCTCTGTTTAGGGAAGCTTTTAATGTTTGATGTATTACAGTATTTTAATATTTGTTTGGAAGCCGTCCAGAGTGGCTGGGGAAGCCCAGCCAGATGGGCGGGGTATAAATAATAAAATAATAATAATAATAATAATAATAATAATCCTGAAGCAAAGTTCTTAACCCAAGGTACTATTTTTGGGTTAGCGGAGTCTGTAACCTGAAGTGTCTGTAACCCGAGGTACCACTGTATAGAGTTGGAAGGGGCCATAACCATCATCTAGTCCAACCCCCCTGCAATGCAGGAATCTTTTGCCCAACGTGGAGCTCAAACCCATAACCCTGAGATTAAGAACCTCTTGCTCTACCAACTGAGCTATTCCTAGGTCCACGAAAACCCCTTAATCCCAATTTTATTTTATTTCACTTTATTCTTTGGTAAATTTACAAAAAGAAAAGCACACACCAATAATTAAATTTTAGAAAGGGGCAAGATTAGATGCAGCGCACAAAGCATTTTTAAAATATAAAAAATAAGACTCCTTGTGCTCTATTCTGTCCCCTCTTCTTTCTGCCCAGGGCAGCCCTACTCTCTGCCTGCCCCTCAGATCCAGTGCATTATGCAGGGCTGGGCCTGTTAGAATTCCTGCTCCACGATTGCAGTCATGGGATTGTTGTCTATCACATGACGGTATATGTTTTGACTCCACAGTGTGGGAAGTGACGGAGACGGGATGTTTGAGTTACTGTGTTCCGTGAAGTGGGACTATTGTCCTTTGTTTGCTCTCTTTGCTGTCTGAGGCTAGAGAGAGAGGGAGCCATGTTGCAGTGCTCTGTGTGTGTTTATATGTAAATAAAGTAGATTAGCCAAAATGCTGAGTTGCTGAGGTCTGTCACGCAAACTGAGAACACTCTGTGGATCCCTAAGTGTGCTGATGTCTGTTGGCATCGGTCGCTGTGATGTTCGGGCAGAAGAAAGCTTTTGAAGCTCCCGAACAATCGACCAGGAGGGAGGGAACATGCCAGTCGGGCATGTGTCTCTGCCAGGGTCCTACTCGAAAGTAAGATGAGCTCTTGACAGGGCCTCCATGGTGGCAGCCTCTCCACCTCCTCCTACTTGCCCACTCTCTAGCAGCTGCTATGAGCTGCCCAAGGGAGGAGGCTGGCAGCAATGGCCACAGAAAGGCCACGGAGACACAACGGGATGCCCCCTCACAACCACTGCTGCTCGGGACAAGCACTGGCTCCTGCTCCTCCCTCAGCTTGGCAGCAGCAGCACTGGCGGGGGAAACAGTGACATTCTGGGATCAAGTCAGAAGCCGGGATGGCTTTTGTAATTCTGAAACTGTCCCTGGAAAATCGGGACATTCGGAGGGTATGCGGCAGCAGTACAGATGTAAATCTAACATTGGCTTATCTCCAAAACAGAAAGAGAAGGGAGGATGGATGTGTGATCAGAGAGCAGGAAGGACGACCTATGAACTCATGTTTTTTTTTGTAAATATATTGATTCACCAGGTCTGTATAATTCCAAAGGCCTATGTTATATGTGTAGCTAAACCTTGGGGATTTATCTGCATTTCTTCAGATGGGCAAAAGGCAGATATGATATGTGACTTGTAGCAGATTTGAAAGCTGTTGCCCTGATGCCAGAGAAAGGTTGCAGACAGATGCAACGGCCCTGTCTGCTTCCTCACTTGTCAATGTCTTTTTGGAAAGATCCGTACTGCTCTTTGCCATTTCCCTTACCCAGGGAGTTCCTGGGGACTCGCTCTGATCTCGGCTATCAGGACAGAAAAACCAAGCAACGTGCCTGAAAAAGCAAACTGTGGATGTCTGGCTGGAAATGTTTTAAACTGCACAGCAGAAGTCTTTGCGATATTGAATATTCTCTGAATATGATGGTTTGTGCCATACATTTGGTTCCTGGTTTTTTACATTAGGGTTGCAGTATTTAGATGCTTAACCAATGATTGGCTTGACCAGTTGAAATGGCACCCTTCCTCATATAAATCTAGTTACTGGAGAGAATAGCCTTTTCTGTGATGGCCCCATGACTCTGGAAGTCCTTTCCTAGGGACATCTGCCTGGAGCCAACATTCCAAGCATCAGGATGCCAAGCTAAGATAGTCCCACTTTCCCAAATTTAGAATTAACACTGCCAATCTATGATCTGCAGATTTTTTTTTAAAAAATCATTTTTATTAGATTTTACAAAAGTAAGTTTCTAACAACACCAAATACATATCCGTATAAAGAGATTACTCTGAATCTTGCAACTTCCCCCCACCCCTTCCTTGGGTCCTAATGTGAACATTTTCAACTTCATATTATTTTAGAATCTATATTTTATATTCATCCATATTATCCATAATACCTGTTACATTACAAGTGATATTAAAATCCTGCTAATGTTTTTATCTGCTTACAGTGGTCTCCTAAGTAAATTATAATTTCCCCCCATTCTTTTTTTTAAAGTTTTTGTCCTCTTGGTTCCTGAGCTTTCTGGCCAGCTTTGCCATTTTGGTGTAGTCTGTAGGAATGATTGCTGGGTCCTGAGCACACTCCCCGCCCACAGGCAGCCTCAGCTGCCTGCACGCGTGACCTTGGCGTGCGGAGCACACTCCCCCTCACAGACAAAGCCACAGCTGTCTGAACATCATGCCCTCTGTCTAACCTTTTGCGATCTCAGTAGCCTGCAGTGTCCTGTCTGTGACCTTTGTCTCTGAGACCTTTGTCTCCTTCGTTATACACTGTGCAAGGGGAAAAATGACACGGTGGAAACAGGTGCCAAAATAACTTTGTACCACCCCAAGATCTCGGGAGTGGAAGATGTGTAAAGGTCACAGTCCAAATGTATCTGCCTGGGTTTGCATATTGTGTCAATAAAAGGAGCCTCCACAGAGCTAGCTGGCAGCTTGCTTGCAGCTCACCTTGCGTAGCTCACCTGCTTTACCAACTCCTGCCTCATGTCCTTCACTTCAGTAGTCCATCAGCTTAGTTTGCCTTTTCTCTCTGTCTGCAGATTTTATTTTATGCTGTTCTTTTACTCTTCTTCCAGTCCTGCTTTCTTGTGGCATCTTTTAAAAAGGAATCTCTTGTATTTTTCACTTCATTGTTTTTATATCTTGCCCTTCCTCCGATGTGGAGTACAGGACAGCATAGCATAAGGAGACCATAAAAACAGGTGTGAGGAACCTCAGGTCCTGGGCGGCCAAATGTATCCTTCCAGGTCTTTCAAGCTGGACTCTCCCAAGGTCACATACTGTTGGACAATGAGCTGGGAGACCAGGGTTCAAAGCCCCAACTCACTCTAGAAGGTCACTGGGTGACCTTGGGCCAGTCGCCATCTCTCAGCCTGAGATTCCTCCACAACACCTTGGAGGAAAAGGTGGTATATACGGGTAATAAATAAGTAAGTAAATGAAATTAGGTAATCAGTGTCTGTGTGTGTCTATAAACTTATTATCGATCTGTGGGGTGTAGGGGGAGAGAGGGCACATCTGGAACCAAAGCAGCCTACCACAACTTACTGGAAGCGTATCAATAAAGAAAGGCATTGCCAGGGCTGGATTTTGGTTTGATGAGGCCTTAAGCTACTGAAGGTAATGGGGCCCTTTCTATGTCCAGCTGTCCTTTGTCAACAACAAATTGCTGCTGTTTTTTGTGTTGAGTATATGCTATATGGTAATTTATGGACCTAATAGGTATCTAAAGCCATTTGCACATGTAGCCATGCCACCAGTCCATGCAGAATGTAAGCACCCTATATAGAGAGAGGAGCAAACCAGTGACATTTGAGGGAGCAGGCTAGCAGGCGGGGCCCATTACTTACACCATAGGAGCCTACACAGCACAAAACACTGTTGCTGTATGTAGGTTTTATTTTATTTGTTTTTTATCTTATATTTAGGAAAGGTACATCCAGTTTTTTTCCTTTAATTTTTTGGGGGGGCCCCAAGAGCGTAGGACCCTAAGCTATAGCTTGTTTTGCTTATACGTAAATCCAGCACTGGGCATCACTGCCAATTTAATCCCCATCTAAAAAATCACGATGGGCTTCAGCTGCTGCCTCTGCAGCCACAACTGCAACCAGAGCCTTTGCTGTGTGTTTGCTCCGTTCGGAAGCAATTTGATCTAATACAAAGCATGCCAGTTTTGAATTCTAGCAAATGCTTCCTATTCTCCTTGTTGAAGAGACAAGCTTAGCAGATAACACAGATGGTCTAACACAGCTCCTTCTCTGCAAGCAACAGCCCATCCTTGTCAGGAATAACACTGACCACGTGGCCTTCAGATAGCTTGGCAAGCATTAACTGAAAACCCAAGCTGGTAAAAGCATTTCTGACCTTTCAAGCACTTAACGCCATTAAGTACTTTTTAAAAAACCGAATTCTCAAAGATCACCTTTCCACAATTGGAACCAAACTATTGGGCTGAAACATTTTGTGCTTGTATTACTCTGCTGCTCTGACCAGCTCACAGGATGGCAAATAACTGCAATTTGAGCTGCTATGTCCGCTTAATGGACAACATTGATTCTATCGTGATTTTTTTTAATGGATATTTTATATTATTTGAACCCCCTAATTCCTATTTTAGCTGTTTTCTCTGGTTTTATAACACAGTTTTGTTGGTTTTTAAGGGCACTTTTCCCCCAAGTACTTTTTTTTGGGAAAAAAAAACACTTTGTATACCATTTAGAGATTTTTAAAATAGCAGGTGGTTTATAGAGGCTTTTATGTAATTAACACTTTTTTATATATACAAGCCACTTAGAGGTTTTGTGAATTAAGTGGTATATAAATCTTGTTAAGTGAACAAATAAATAACATACGCACACTTTTTTATTTTTGATGGGTGGGTTGAGGTAACTATTGCCTCCCAAGCACATTACCAATGACAGGTTGCATTCACCTATTCTTGACCTTTTCTTCGGTTAAATCTTCAACTTCACAGCGTGCTCTTGGTTTTTGGTTTGCTTGGTGGCCAGTACTCTCCCAAATCACAAATCCATTGGATGAACCATGTCTACTCAAAGTCCCGTTGAATTCAATGCTGTTGTTGTTGTTTAGTCGTTTAGTCGTGTCCGACTCTTTGTGACCCCCTGGACCAGAGCACTCCAGGCACTCCTATCTTCCACTGCCTCCTGCAGTTTGGTCAAACTCATGCTGGTCTCTTCGACAACACTGTCCCACCATCTCGTCCTCTGTCGTTCCCTTCTCCTTGTGCCCTCCATCTTTCCCAACAGCAGGGCCTTTTCCAGGGAGTCTTCTCTTCTCATGGGGTGGCCAAAGTATTGGAGCCTCAGCTTCACGATCTGTCCTTCCAGTGAGCACTCAGGGCTGATTTCCTTCAGAATGGATAGGTTTGATCTTCTTGCAGGCC